ATAAAATGACAATGTCAACTGCATATAAAGAAAATTTGTATAAGATGTTTTACAGGTGGCATCTAACCCCGACGAGAATAGCCAGAATGTTCGAGAATAAATCTGAAAAATGTTGGAAATGTCATCAGATACCGGGTTCATATTACCATATGTGCAGAAGCCAAAAGATATTGGACTAAAATCTACACATGGTTGGAAAAAATGACAAAAAAACACATAGATTTTAAACCAGATTTTTTTATTTGGGATTGAATATGTTACTATTGTTAAGCAACCAAGTCTGAAAATTAAAGCATTAAAATATATCCCCAAAGATGGATATTAAATTAAGGCTCAAAACAAGAAATCATTGCAATGTTATATATTTAAATAAGGCGATTATATTTCCTTCATCCTAACTGAACTTCCTTTTACCCTTCCAGATGTATTTTGATTCCAACTCTTGGAATTAATCACCTAACAGACACCCAAAATATGGGTACAGGAAACTATCCAGAGAGGGAAAAAAAATTAGCCAGATATAAAATGTTTAGATATGCTGAAAATATTCAGAAACAAGGGGAAGATGTAAATATTAGAAGATGACCGTTAGGAAACAGTTGTAAAAAAGGAATTTATATTATGTCTTTTGTGTTTGTTATATTGTGTTGTGTTATAAATAAATATTAAAAAGAAAAAAGAAAATATCCAGAAACAAGTAGAAATATATAGAAATGGAAATGTACTGAGTATCCATTATACAGGACCTTTTACTAACTCTTCCTTGTTTTCTATCACAAAAACAAAAACTTTCATTAAGGAATACCTTTAATTTATCGCCACCAATAATGGTGGCAATAAATTAAAAAAAATATATGTTTTTTTTTTAACATGCTGATATTGAAACCTTGAAATTCTAAGTTCTCTCTGACAAGTTGGCAAAAATAAAAACGGGTGGAACGGTGAGGTTTTTAATTAGAAAGCGGAGGAGGGATGCATTCTGGCCTTCCACGTGCTCCTGCTTTTAGAACCAGGACGAAGGAAATAAACAAGCATTGTTTGTTACATCTGCGCGCACAGATGGCACATAAAACCTGGATTAGAAAACATTTTTTTTTTTTTGTGGGAAAAAAATAAGAGCAAGACGTGAGCCGTCTTGGTATATCCGCTATTATTTGGGGGGGGGGGGGGGGGTTTTGCCCATTTTTGTACTGAAAAAAAGCCCAGGGCAGGTAGGGATGTTAGACGCAAAACCTACTACGGGGAAGCCCCCGCAGACCCCCAGCCCTCCGCTTCTGGAGCCAGGCCAGGTCGACACGCAGCAAAGCAGGCCGCTCGGTTCCTGACGCAGCCGCGTCGTTTCCTCGCCCGCTGCCCCGCCTTTGGCCCCTCCTCCCCCGGCCGCTTGCTACAGCCGCCACGAGGCCGGCCTGACATCCTGGGCCGCCTAACCTTGTTCTTTTTGGGGCCGCCGTTGTGCGGAGCGGCGTCGGGCTCCATGGGGGTCTCGGGCTCCAGGTCGTCCTCGCTCTGGGACTCGAAGCGGGGGGCCGCGGGCATTTCCTGGGACTCTTGGCCGCGGAGGCGACGGCAGAAGCGGCTACTCGAAACCGAGGCCGGCGTGAAAGGAAAGAGCTCCGCCCCGCCGGCCCTGCGGAGGGAAGAGGGGCGGCGCGGGAGGAGGAGCGGCCGTGCAGCGGGAGACGGCGGGCCGGGGAGGAAGCCGACTCGGCGCTCGCTAAGGGCCTCGCCAGGGCTGCAGGTGCGGCGTCACCCCGCGGAGCAGCCGGGTCGCCCACATGAAAGGCAGGGCCGCCGGGAGCCCTCCTGGTGCATGCGTCCAGAAGGGGACGGGGACGAGGTGTGGTCGGGTAGGAATTGGAAAATGTGAGAAGGACGAAATATTGGTGTATGAGGATGAGGCCATTGTGTGTTTGCAGAGCCCATATTTCACAAGGTGTATCAGGAGGTGTCTGGGTTCTCTGGCAGCCACAGTGGGGATGGGGGGTGGGGGGGTAATGGCAGTCCCAAAACAGATTGGCCAAACCAACTGGAGCCCAGTTCTATGAAGATGACTCCTTTATATCCCCTGGAAGGTCTTCTGTTGAGATAGCAGGTTAAATGCTGGTTTCATATTAGACTGGCTTCAAGTGCGTTACTGGCAAGACAACACAAAGACCAAGTTGTGAGAAGACATGAGAAATGGTTAGTGGGGCATAGCTGTACTGCAGCAAATGGAACATGTGGATGAACTAAGTCGCTGCGGCTATTTTCACACCGCAGGCAGAACCACAAGCTACAGGGAGTCCTCGTTTAGTGACTGCCTCAGACAGTGACAGTTCAGTTACAAGGGTGACTTTACGACCATTCTTGCATTTAAGACTTGGCAGGTTTATAAAGCAAAGGAAGGTCATAAGCAGTCACCGTTTCACCTACTGAATGTTTTGCTTAACTGGGTTGCTGGTTCCAATTGTAGCTAAATGAGGAATACTTGTAAAAGTACTGTATATTTTTTGCATCTATTCTACATATTTTCACATAAAATTATATTTTTATTTCAGGAATATTCTAGTCATGAACTTGCAATACTTTACCACTGAAAAATGTTGTTCATCCACCATCATTTTACTGAAATGTCTGGAATGTGATCCAAATGAAGGTATTTATATTTTGATGGTAACTTAATTAGCGTGCCTTGGCTGATTATATGAAAGATAGCCAAGAACAAGCATCGATTGAAGTTAAAAACTGTAACTTAGTGAATGCACAGGAAACAAAACATGAATATCAAAATCTATATAAATAAAAATGTAAATGTTCGTTTGTTCAAAACCGTAAATCTCCTAAAGTTCTTCACCGATTGCTTTGAAATGTTGACACGTTGCATTCGAATATGCACGTTTTTATATACCTATATTATATAGATGTCACACCTGTGACAGGTAAAAACATGTTTTGAAAAACAGCGCTAAAAACATGCTTTTTTGAAAAACAGCGCCATCTGTTGGACATAAAAGCAACACGCTATACTATCTTTTTGGACTTTAATGTCACAGCACCACAATGGCAGGCGCAAGCTGGTTCTTTTCCCCTCAGCGCCGCCGCCGCCAAACCCACAAGCAAAATGGTGGCAAATGTCAACCACCGCGAAGCGTCCTCCCGACTAACGGAGTATGCCGTACATTTGGCAGGGACCCTGATGCCACCTGTGGTGCGGAGAGCTGCGAAGGTGAAGGCGGTTATACCAGCAAGCCAGGAAACCAGCTCTTACACCCGCGGCAAACTGGGACGGAGGCAAAGTAGGCGTGACCTGAGCTACAGAGGGAAATTATTGGCACTTGGTCAAAAAATATTGTATACCCATAAGACTGGGCCACAGCAACGCGTGACTGGGTACAGCTAGTAATATAATAAAAACAAATAGAATGCTGGCAAGGAATTAGATTGAAGGGAAAATGGATAAAGATAAAACCTGTCAATGGCTAACAACTGGGACATTAAAGAAATTGAAAGCTTGATTTTGGCTGCCCAAGAGTAAAATATTTGAATTAATGCAATTTAGGCCAGAACTGAAAAACTATCAAATGATTCAAAATATATATTGAGTAAAGAAGCAGAAGAAACGTGGATCATATATGAGTTAATGCAAGATCGCACAAACTGATTGTAAACAACCACCTTAACAGTCGCCAAAATGATTCACTGGAACATCTGAAAAAAGTATGTACCAGTACAGGTAGTCCTTGACGTACAACAGTTCATTTAGTGACTGTTCAAAGTTATGTCACTGAAAAAAGTCACACGACCATTGCAGCATCCCCATGGTCATGTGATCAAAATTCCATCACTTGGCAATGACGCGTATTTATGATGCAGTGTCCTGGGTCATGTGATCACCTTTTGTGACCTGACAAGCAAAGTCAGTGGGGAAGCCGGATTTAATTAAGGAACTTGTTACTAACTTAACAATTTTAGTGATTCACTTAACAACTCTGGCACGAAAGGTCATAAAAATGGGACAAAATTCACTTTAACTGTCTCTCTCAACAACAGAAATGTTGAGCTCAATTGTGGTTGTATGTTGAAGACTACCTGTAATGAAAAATTAGTGGGTTTAAAAATTAATTGAGAATGAGCAGATTAAAATATTGTGGGATTTCTATAGTCTTGGCTCCTAACGCATCAGATTTAACTGTGGCTGAAAAGATGACAGTGTGGATAATTGATGTGGCAATACCAGGGGATAGAAGACAAAGAATTGGAGAAAAATCACAAAGTATCAAGATCTCAAAATCAGAGTTGAAAAATTACAGCATAAACCAGTTGCGAGGGTCACAGTGGTTATTGACACAAAGGGTGCCAAACCAAAGAATCTTGGAAAATCTGTACGTTGACAAAATTTCCATTTGTCAATTACAGAAGGCTACGCTGCTTGAATTTGCATATATACTTTGCTGATACATTATGGTACAACATCCTAGGTCAGAGATGGCTAATCTTTTTGCCATCGCGTGCCAAAAGCGGGGGGAATGTGGGCGGGGTCACACCCATAATTCAATTCAGCCCCTCCACACATGCGCACGCGACACCCCCCCCGCATGACCCCTGCTTTTGGCACGCAATGGCACGGTGGGCCAGGTAGGCCCGTTTTTCGCCCTCCCCAGGCTCCAGGGGCTTTCTTGGAGCCTGGGGAGGGCAAAAACAGCCTTCCCCACCCCCCTGGAGGCCCTCCAGAAGCCGGAAACAGCCTGTTTCCCGTCTTCTGGTGGGACTGGAAATTAGCTGGCTGGCATGGCGCATGGGCGCTGGAGCTGAACTAGGGCAACGCTGACGTGCCCACAGATATGGCTCCGCGTGCCACCTGTGGCACGCGTGCCATAGGTTCGCCATCACGGTCCTAGGTTCTTGGAAAGAACTCAGTGCCTATTAAGGCCAACACCAACTAAATGAACTGGTAGCTGTGACTTCATAATTGTGTGTAATAATAATAATAACAACAACAACAACAACAACAACCATCCTAGTAAGTATTAGCTTTATTTTAAAAGAAATATATTTGACATAAACTAATGAATAACCACACGTTTATTTTTCCAAGAGAGCATCCCTGAAGTTACTAGGATCTGAGCTTATTGTTATCAAATACAGCAGTAAAAAACAGTAAAAATGTTTATTACAAAGTATTCATACATTTTATGGAAGAAATAGCCAACATCTTACCTACTATTAGCACATGTGTTCGTTTAAGACATTTACAGCAAATACATTAATAGATTTACAAACAGGTTCACAAATTTGGTTAAAAAAGGAGGAAAAATTAAACATTCATCACTGGTGTCAACTGAAGTAAGGAGTTTGAGGTAAGAGACTTTCTGCTGTGTAAAGTCTTCTTTATACCTTCTAAGTTCTTAAGGAAGCTGCTGCTTTTCTTTAGTCCATACAAGATGGCAGAATTAGCAGATACCATACTTTGTGCTCTGGAAAGAATGGTATTTTTGAAACAAAAGATTCACAAAAAAGGGTTTATTATACATAACAAATGTTCTTAAAAAACATCAGACAACTCCAAAACTTTTAGAAAAAATATTGGCTGTATGAAGGTTGTTCATCCAAAAATCTGTTTAATCTCTTTCATTTTAAGGTTTCTTTATTACAGTCTTATAAGTCATTTAGCTTCCAGAAATGTTCAAATATATAAAGGTTATGTTTTCTGTTTACATGCTGTTCTATAAAGTTAACCAAATCCTTGGAAAACATACTGTATATATTTTTCCAAGTATGGGGGAATATAACCCAGTAGGCTGTTGCACTGTAACCAGTTTATATCCATCCTGCCTGATCTGTTTAGTTTTCTGTGCCTGAAATAGCCCTTATCCTTTGTAACTGTGAAAGGTTCATGACAAGCCAATTGCAGCCAAAATACTTGTAAATTACCTCTCTCGGTGCTTGTTAAGGCATTATAGAAACATACTCCCATCACCTACAACTAGCTTAATCCAGACTTGTGGTGAGAGCTACAGTATATATTGACTTATTATTTCATTTATATCCTGCTCAGTAAGATAGCCAAACATACCAAAACCCAGTAACAACAGTAGACCTTCCTGTTGGTTAACACAATGAAGAAAAAAAATCATGAAAACAAGAGTCACATATTGCCAGAGGAGGATCTGCATACTTATCAATCCTACATCCTAAATGTGCTTTTTCCAAAAAGCAGCTGGACTTTCTTGGGTGTTTTCTTTGGAAACATTTCTCTTCTTATCAAAGAAGCTTCTCCAGTTCTGAACCAGAGAAGCTCCTTGGATGAGAAGTGAAACGTTTTCAAAGAAAATACCAAGAAAGTCCGGTTGCTTTTTGGAAAAAACACATTTGGGACAAACACGGCCTGCATGATTGAGAATTTCCATAGAGTTTCCAAATCCTAGAGTTTCCAGAATAGCTAGGTATTGGCGGCTTTCCTGAATGGCAAAAAGGGATGGTGGTGACCTAACTTTGAGTAGAGTGCTGTTCCAAAGGACAGACAGTAAGAGAAAAGGCATGCATGCCTTGTGATCCCTGACAAAGACAATTCCTCAAGATGGGGTTTGAAACATTCCCTTCCTACCAGCTCTTATTGGACAATTAGAAACACAAGCCTGGTCAGGTGTCAAGGCAGTAGGGCTTTAAAAGTGACAACCAACACCTTGATTTGCAACTGAAAGCCAACTGGCAATCAAAGCAGCTCTCACAGTAGTGATGTTACCTGAGCAGATCAGTAGGCCCTGCTATAGTTTACAGTAGTGGCCAAAATTGTGGAAACCTTTTGGGAAAAATGTATTTTCTAAAACTAGCTAATAGCACCACTTTTTTTTTTAGAGTAGTACCATAAAATTATATATCAATGGAAAGATAATTTAATCAAGAATGTAATGCAATAACTTATATGAAGGATTTGCTATTAGAATAGCAGTTACAGTATAAAAAAGAAAAATGAAGAGTAGAAAAAACGGGATATACAAAAATTATCACCATAAAAAAAATGAGATATACAAAAATTATCACCATAGAAAAAATGCGATATACAAAAATTAACACCATGTCAGTTAATACTTAGTTGGGTAACCTTTAGCATCAATTATGGCCTTACAATGTCTTCTCATGGAGTGAACCAAGCTTTTTAGTTCTGCAGCTGTTATAAGGTGAAACCAAGATTGAATGATTGCTTCTATTAACTGGGTTTTATTGCTGAGTCGCTTCTGACTAACAAGTTTCTTTAGTCGGCTCCATAGATTTTCAAGTGGGTTAAGATCTGGGCTATTCCCAGGCCATTCCAGCAGTGGAATAGGATTATCTTGAAACTCCCCCCAAAAAAGTGATGATGTTAGCCATCAAACCTCAAAAATACACTTTTCCCAAAAGGTTTCCACAATTTTGGACACTACTGTATGATGTTCAAGGACAGGTAGAGATGAAAAAAATTAAATTCAACAATTCAAGTAACATTTTTCCAGTATACCTAACCTTGAAGACCATACTAAGTGTAATAGATGGAGAGGTGCAATAGAAATAGCGCTCCCATGTTTGCTCTTACCTGGGAGAATCTATCCCACTATCTCCTGTTATACTCTGGTTTCCTGTGCCTTGTAAGTGGTTTTGGCCATGTTGGATTTCCCGATCTAGAGGAGCATCCTCTGAGTTATCAAATGACTGTCGTGTTCCCACAAGGTTTGTCTTAATTTCCCAGTCTTTGGATGACAACATCAAGGAAGCTGTTTCCATAGCTACTTCGTTTGCCGACTTCTCCCACATTCTGTTCTCTGCTTCCTGCACCGCACTGAACTCAAGGACATGCCTTTCAGTATTATCAGTTCTCTGGCCTCGATCATAAATACCCTCTTTTTCTTCATTGTTTTTAGAAGACACTTGATGACACATACAAGTTTCTCCTTCCAAGTTCATTTCATCATATTCCTTTAAGCTACCCTTTGATTTACTCTGACTAAGAAAACCACTGTCTTCATGTTGGTATGCATCAACAGTATCTGTACCATTTGGGTAGCTTCGAAAGAGAGGTTCATCCTTTTCTTTTCCCAATACTTTTGAACTCGTATCTTCTCTTACGTCATTCCATTTTTCTGACTCTGTTCTACATCGGAGTTGATAAGATTTCAATTTGGGTGATTGAGTTTCTTCTTCCTGGACAAGGTCATTATACAGAGGACTACGGGCACCATCATTATCCACTTTTTGATATTGAACTGGATCATCATAAATGAATCCCTCGTACTGCGGATTCACAGACTCGAGCCATTGGCTTGTGTTCTTGGACTGTATCTCACTCCTAAAGTCCTTTTGTCTGTGTGCGGCGACAACTTCAGACTGTTTAAATTGGCAGATTATACCTGTATCAGTGGGAAGATAGCAATCTGAATGCTGACTTGGTAAACTGCACATGTTTGCTTTATCACGGTGCATTTGAATAGATTTTTCTGGATACTTTTTCTCTTCTTCATTTTTGAATGTAGGGTAAATGTTAGAAGCCTCTTGCATCTCCATTGCATTTTGGGAGTTTGTCCCTCTTTGGAGATTACACTTACAAGTGGCTCTCTCTGCCAAGGATGTGAGCGTGCCATCTGTTCGTAAAGCTGAGCATTGCTGGTGATCTAAGTGTTTTTTCTTTTCCTCTTCAGCATCACACTTCCCCGAGACTTTAGCTTTACAATTCATGGTTCTTGAGGAATCTAAAGAGTGGGACCATGAATGATGCCTCTCTGATCTAACAGCCTTGGAGTTTATATCACAATTTTTCTGACTTTTGTAACCTTTTGATGACTTGTTCCTTCTATTTGGAATATCTTGAAATGGATTATTGATTTCCCTTTTATATAAAAAGTGAGGCTCCATATCTAATGCATCCTCATCAACTGGCTTTCTATTGCAAACCATCGTTTCGCTTGTAAGATGACATAATGGATGTTCAACAGAGCTTGCCAAATTGTCATCAGCCAATACCACTTCACTGGTTTTATATTTCCCTCGTTTTTCTTTAATATGCTGCCCCTTCCTGTGATACTTTGAGGCTTTATTCTGTTTTTTCCAACTGTATGCTTTTGAAAAATGTTTGTGCTTCATTGTTAGTACTTCTGTAGAGGTTCCTTTGCTGATATACTTCTTCTGTTCTTCCATTTTCCGCATTAGTGCTGTATGTTTAGTCAAGTTGTCAACAGTCAATATAGGATTGATGCGCTTGATGATTTCATGTTCAACATCCCGTGGAATGTTCTCTAAATTATCTTCGTCTTGGACCGGCCATTTCTCAGGAGGAAACTGAGCAGAAAACGTAGAGTGGGATTTCTTAGCCTTTTCTTTCTTGGAAGTGTTGCGCCAAAAGAGGCTAAGACTAAACTTTTTAGCCTTATCTTTTCCCTTTGCGGAAAGTACTGAGTGGGAGATTCCATCAGCAAGTGACTCTGTACTTGGTTTTGGAACTGAAGATCTAGATTCACAGGAATCTTTTTGACTTTTCCCATTTGGCTCCTGGCTAATTAATTCCTGACATTTTGTTGGTTTCACTTCATTGTCCCCAAGGAAACAGTAACAGGATCTACAATGTGATACAACAGGCAAAGGATCTGGTGTCAGCTCTGTAGCATCTTCCATGCTTACCAAGTATGTGAAAGGAGGCTGGGGAAGGCATTTGTCTTCCAGCAAGGCCCTCTTGTTGCTCTTCATAGTATTATTAGAGATAAAATAGGTATTTGGGGTTACTATGAAGTATCCTTCCCCAGTATGGTATATCTTTCGCTCTTTAATTAGCATCCCAAGAGTACTGTAGAGAATATCATGGGTTGGAGTTGCAATACCTAGAATAATAAGGATAATAATCTTTATTAGGATTCATTCAACATGTAGAATATTTTATTTCTATTAGTTTTTCATACAATCACAGTATTACAGAACAAGATATTATGTCTCTATCCATCATCTCTTAGCCTAGTATAAACTGGAGAAATAGTAACATAGAAATAGATATATAATAGAATTTATTATAACCATAGATATACTAAGGTTAGGAGGTGGAAGATTGTGATTAGGCATATTTGAATGTATTATTATGATTAACAGTGTGCAAAAAGTATAATGGAATTTATAGCTCTTAAAGACTACAAATTCAGGGGACTCAGAGATATAATTCCGGGACCGATTAAATTTTATTAATAAATGGTTTTATTGGTGTTTATAGAAAACTGAGATTGGAAATATGGTAGATTTTTTTTTTTTTTAAATTTTGATTTATATGCCGCCCTTCTCCGGAGACTCAGGGCGGCTTACAATGCGTTAAGCAATAGCCTTCATACTTTTGTATATTTATACAAAGTCAGCTTACTGCCCCCACAAACTGGGTCCTCATTTTACCTACCTTTGAAAGGATGGAAGGCTGAGTCAACCTTGAGCCTGGTGAGATTCGAACTTACAGTAATTGCAGACAGCTGGTGTTAATCACAATGCTTTTAGTCTGCTGAGCCACCAGGTTTGAGTAATACTTAAAATATTAAAATATTGTGACTTAACAGGGGTCAACAAACACATTGTATGAAGAAATGTAATGGATCTTGAAATATATTTTTGGAGAAAACGATGAAGAAAAAAAAAACATTTAAAATATTTTAGATTCTGTCCATATTCGCCTTCACAGTAAATTATGAAAAAGCCCCTATGATGATATAATCCTGTGTCTTTTCCCCCAGAATTAAATGTCATTGGTTTCAGTTAGGTCTTCTTTATTCCTAAATACTGTATATACAGTGTCTTTATAAAATGAAAAACAAATTTGAAACCTTCACTGCGCACAAAAAAGTTTCCTAATCAAAAAGACCAAATAAGAGTTTTAAGGTGATATTATTCCCCCATTATGTGATGGGCTGTAATTTCTACTGGCCATGAAAAGGTTTGTTATTGCAAAAATGCGGTAAAGCATACACTAAAACAGTGATGGCAAACCTATGGCACGCGTGCCACAGGTGGCACGTGTAGCCATATCAGTGGGCACGCAAGCTCAGCTCCGGCGCGCCGGAAGTAGGGAAACAGGCTGTTTCCTGCCTTCGGAGGTGGTGGGGAAGGCCTGTTTTTCTCTCTCCCCAGGCTCCAGAGCCTTTCTAGGAGCTTGGGGAGGGTGAAAACAGCCTTCCACACACACCCCCGGAGGCCCTATGGAGGCTGGAAATGGCCCGTTTGCCGACGTTTCCGGAGGGCCTCTGGGGGAATAGGGAAGGCCGTTTTCACCCTCCCCAAGCTCCTAGAAAGGGTTTGGAGCCTGGGGAGAGGGAAAAACAGGCCTACCGGGCCCACTGGGCCATCGTGTGCCAGGAGTGGGAGGAGGGGGGGTCGCACGCGCATAGAATTATGGGTGTGCGACCCCCCCGCACTTCTGGCACACAAGGGCAAAAAGGTTAGCCATCACTGCACTATAAGCTGTACTTTGGATCTGAATTCAAAAAGGTGCTTCAAAATGCAAGTTAAAGGTGCATCTACAAAGCTTCAAGGTTCCCCTGAACAGAGGACATTCATAAATTGCTACCAATGATGAAATCTGGGCCCTTAGTCTATCTTTAGGCTGAAGGAGGTAACCCTCTCTAGAAGCTGATTTGGGATCTGTTAAATAACAAATTATATTTTCTGGAGGGAAGCAGGCAGATCCTTCAACTGGAGCAGAAAAATATCTTGAGCAGGCTGGAATATAATTTCATTTATTGCAGTGCAACTGTACTAATAGAACTGATCTGTGATTTATATATTTAAGTTACATTTGGTATCTCACTGGAAAAAAAATAAGGATTTCTTTTTTTACCAGCACAATTTTTGCTATAAAGATGCCAAATACAGGTAAATATACAGTTTAGATGAAAAAGCTATCTGGACAATCCAATAAGGAATAAAGATTGCTTGTTGAAGATACTGAGTTTGACTACAGTGATGAAAAAAAGAAAAGAAAAGAGATATATAAAGTGGAGTATGTTGACCAGAATTTTAAACAAAAATAACTTCATATTAAAATGTCGCAGATCCCTTTTGAGTTGTACACCTTCAAGCTTTTATATGGAACAACTGTATACTTAGGAGTCCAATGTGGCGTAGATTTTATCTTTAAATGCCAGTAGCAGGATGCTTTCTCCCAGTTGAACAATAGTGGGCAGCAAATACATAATAAACATTGCAAATGACCTACTAAGTAAACCGTAGCTTCTTCTAATGGAAGCTTGTGATTAGTTGACCGGTTCATTGCATGTTCATTAGCTGAACTTCTTTTAAAAATATCAAGCAGAAGAATCGCAGTACTTCACCACACAAGTTACTGGGACTGCTTTGGGAGTTAGGAAACAAACTGCTTTGTCAATCCTAGGATTATTGGACTGCAAAAATCTGAGTGGAGATGGAAGCAAATGAAGGTACTTTACTCCTTCTTGTCAAAACTGTGATGGTTCTCATTTCAAAATATATTGGATGTGCTCCCTGAATCATCTGCTAGGCAGATGATAATTGATAATTCAGTGACCACTGTGTCAGATAACATGTTTTCTTGACGAATAGCTGTCCATCTGACATATACGATTCTAGATGACTCACAACAGTTAAAAACCAACAAAAAGTAGAAATAAATGCAACAAATGCACAACTGTATTAGAAACACTATTAAAAACGCCTCTCCTGCGCGAGCTGCACTGGCTCCCGGTGGTCTTCCAAGTGCGCTTCAAGGTTTTGGTTATCACCTTTAGAGCGCTCCATGGCTTAGGACCTGGTTATTTACTGGACCGCCTGCTACCACCAATAGCCTCCCACCGACCAGTACGCTCCCATAGAGAGGGGCTCCTTCGGGTGCAGTTGGCCAAACAATGTCGACTGGCCGCCCCCAGGGGGACAGCCTTCTCTGTGGGGGCACCTACTATCTGGAACGAGCTCCCCCTGGAGATACGGAGGATCCCGGATCTGTGTACCTTCCGTCGTGCGCTCAAGACTTTCTTATTTCATCAAGCTGGCCTGACCTAAGTTTTTCCCCTTTTTAAATGGAAATTTTAAATTTGGTTTTAAATTATTGGGGTTTTAAATTTGTTCAGCCAAATTATTTAATTCGTTTTATTCTATTTTAAATTTTGTATTTATATGTTTTATTCTATGGCTGTTCACCGCCCTGAGTCCTTCGGGAGTAGGGCGGTATACAAATTCAATAAAAAAAAAACCTCAAAACACAAAATGATAGGTGAACACCAATCATACGTCCCATTCAGTACAGATAGTCCTTGACATACAACCATTCCTTCAGTGACCATTCAAAGTTACAACAGCACTGAAAAAGGTGACTTATGATGGTTTTCCACATGACCATTGCAGTATTCCCCATGGTCACATGACCAAAATTGGCAACTGGCATGTATTTATGATGGTTGCAGAGTCCTGAGGTCACATGATCACCACTTGCGACCTAATAAACAAAGTCAGTGGGGAAGCCAGATTTACTTAATAACCCTGTTGCTAACTTAATGATTCACAGTGATTCACTTAACAACTGTGGCAAGGAAGCTTGTAAAACGAGGTAAAACAGCTGTCTTGCTTAGCAACAAAAATTTTCGGCTCAATTATGATTGGCGTCAAGGCCTACCTGTACAATTACTTGCCAGCTCGTCATTTCTAACAGTGTTTCCTAAGATCTAAAAGGATAGAGGCCAATATGAGTTTCAAGGGAATGATGTTCCAAAAGAAAAGCACCAGGGCAGAAAACAGCCCATCAGATGATACCCCTTAATAGATGGAACCTATAACATGCCTCATAGGGGACATGGTGGCTCAGTGGCTAAGATGTTGAGCTTGTCAATCAGAAAGGTCGGCAGTTCAGTGGTTCGAATCCCTAGTGCTGCGTAACAGAGTGAGCTCCCGTGACTTGTCCCAGCTTCTGCCAACCTAGCAGTTCGAAAGCAGGTAAAAAATGCAAGTAGAAAAATAGGGACCACCTTTGGTGGGAAGGTAACAGCGTTCCGTGCGCCTTTGGCGTTTAGTCATGCCAGCCACATGACAACGGAGACATCAGACAGCGCTGGCTTAGAAATGGAGATGAGCACCGCCCCCTAGAGTAGGGAACTACTAGCACGTCTGTGCGAGGGGAACATTTACCTTTATAACATGCCCCTCCTGCTGGATCCGATGGGACAGGCAGATGTAACTAGGGAAGGATACTCCCTCAAATTTCATGCCACATATGGTTTTATACGTCATTACTAGCACCTTGAGCAGCATCTGGAAGCACTTTGCAGTCAGTGGACCAATTTTCTGGAGTTACTGCTGGGTGGCTAGCTGAGAGAGGGCCAAATGACAGGGAGAGGAAAAGGATGTTGACATGTCTTTTGTGGAAATGAGCAGTTCTTCCCAACACAATGGGAAGAGGCTACATATCTCTGCGTGCTCACTGGATACAGAGGAATTATGTGTATCTTGGGAAGAGCTGGCGTCACTCTGAGGTCTAAGCTCCAAAAATGCCAGGGATAACAAGGCAGCTTCAAATGTGTATTTCCAGGTTTATATTATCAGTCTTAGGATGAAACAAAGCAAGACATTGTTTTACATTTTGATATGCAAAGGGAATTAACACGGCTCCCCCATTCCCAGGCAGTATCTAGCATTTCACTCTTCTCACTGCAGCCTGAACTGAAAGTTTATATTCAATACCCGCAACCCTCTATTTAGTCGATTACCTGGGTAGTATTTTCCCAACTGATGCAGTAAAGCTTCCTGTGTAACTGTAATATGAGCTGCATTCATATCAGATATAGCACAACACAGGACCTCTGCCAAGGGAACAAAATGAGACTGGGAAATTGGATTCATATGCACTGGAGAGACATCACCTACAATGAAGAAAAAAAGGGGGGGGGGAGTGAAGGAGACACAAGAAAAAAATTAATTTTTGTACTTTTTGAGTATTTTGTCCTGTCCTCCCCCACCCCCAGTTGCCTTTAAAAGCTAAGCTTTTAAGTTAGTCTGAGAAAAATCGTCAAAAAATAGCTATAGATATCGCACTCCTACCCTCAAAACGACGCTATAGAGCACTGCACACCAGAACAACTAGACACAAGAACAGTTTTTCCCCAAACGCCATCACTCTGCTAAACAAATAATTCCCTCAACACTGTCAAACTAGTTACTAAGTTTGCATTGGTGAATGATTACTATTAATCTTCTCATCGTTCCTATCACCCATCTCCTCCCACTTATGACTGTATGACTGTAGCCTTGTTGCTGGTATCCTTAAGATTTATATTGACTGTTTCCCTATGACTATCATTAAGTGTTGTACCTTATGACGAATGTATCTTTTCTGCTATGTACACCGAGAGCGTATGCACCAAGACAAATTCCTTGTGTGTCCAATCACACTTGACCAATAAATAATTCTATTTTAGTTATGTTCTACCTCATGCTGGTCAAGAGAAGTTTTAAAAGAAGCTGCATATGCGGAGGGTTGAATTAGACATCTGCAATTATGGGTAACTGTTCAACTCTACATCTTTTAACTTTCATTAAAGAAATAATGTAGGCTAATACATTTATTCAAATCCTTAGCACAGAGGCGCATGCTATTTCAGGTCTCTTATTTATTCTGTTCATATTTTATAAACATCCACCTGACAGAGGGACCATTAAAGTCTTTCTTGAAATTATACGAAGCGTCCAACCTACATGGTAGCTTAGAGATGGTTGTAAGAGCCTTTCTAAGATATGTGAGCAACATGATACAATTCGGAGTTAGAAATTACAGCAAAGCTAATCTTCTAGAACGGCTCTGACAATTTACAGCTCAACGCTTAAAAAAAAAAAATCTCTGAGATCATTTTTCTTAAGTCAACAAAAAACAACAGTCCCTTTCGAAGAAGCTGTTAAACAGTTCTTGACCTCTGTTTTACCAATTGCTGTGCTTATGTTTAACAGAATGCCTTCAGAGAAGTTCCAGAGAATAACTTCCTCAGTGACGTTGCTAGGTTACTTCCACCAAGGATATAAATCAGGGTCAGCTTGCTTTGTATGAAACAGAAGCGTGCACACATGCATACACACGGAACGGATTACTGTAAACAGAACTGGTTTCACACTTACCTGGAAAGGACACCTTAAATGTTTTTATTCTTTCCATATTATTTATTTTCTCAGCGCTGTATTGTAAAAATTTCTTACATAGGAAATAACAAAATATCAAGGGTAATAGAAGGGACCTTGGAAGTCTTCTAGCCCAACCTCCTGCTCAAGCTGGCTGTCCAGCCTCTTAAAAAGCCTCCAGTGATGGAGCATCTACGACTTTCTTCAGTTTTTACTCTGCACTAAAAGTTGGCTCTCTCTGCTGAGGTGAAATCAGCAACTTTTATTAAGTCAGAGAAGCCAAGTCTTAATATTATGATTCCAGTCCAATATTTGTAGAAAGGAAAAGCAATTAAGAAGACAATGCTAGTTGTGCTCTAGTCATTGCAGAAGATGGGCAGGGGTGGTCTGCTGGGAGTTCGCAGGGGTTCGGGAGAACCTCTAGCTAAGATTCTGTGCAGTTCGGAGAACCCCCAAATCCCACTCCTGGCTGGCCCCGCCAACCCCGCCCCTCCCAGGAATCCCCATGAGGCCTGTTTTGGATGCAGGTAAGTGCAGGTCGTGCACAGAGGCTCGGGGAGGGTGAAAAACGGGCCTACCGGAAGTTCAGGAAGGGGGCCTCCGGAGCATGGGGTGGCCGTTTTCGCCCTCCCAGAGGCTCAGGGAGCCTGGGGAGGGCAAAAATGCGCCCTCACACCATGGTGCAGGAGGCCGACTAGGCCACACCCACCATGGCCACACCCACCCAGCAACTGGGCAGAGAACCCCTTGCTAAAATTTTTGAAGCCCACCCCTGAAATGGGGTTGAATCATTTCATGATTAGTATTTATCTGATGTTATTATGGGGCATAGTGGAAACTGACCCAAAGGCCTGACACCTTAACATAGGCAAAACAATTTTGTCTGCCTCAAAACCCTTCTTCTCTGCCCAGCCTCTATCACTGGACAGAAGGCATATCAGGTCTTTCAATCATTATTTACAAACCAAAGTTCCAAAATGTTACTAAATCCAATCTTTTCCTCAGCAGACAAATAACAACATGGATCAAGGAGGAGGAAATAGATTAGCTGGAACATTTCAGAATACATCATGGAAACCGAGAGTTTAGTGAACAATATCAGCTATTTCATGGATTCACATCTACTTTGGAAATCTGAAGTTTTCCTACTGATTCTCCAGTTCTTACTGACACCACATAAGCAAACTCCACATGATTTCTTTTCAGAGGAATGAAAAGATGCTCCTTCAAAAATTTTCCAATATTCATAAAAAAGAAATCAGCCAGTTTTCCTTCTGTACAAATTTCAGTTAGCATCCCTTCCCCACTTCAACAGTCCTATATGCTTGAATAATCTAGCATCAAAAAATTATATAGGAAGAAGTGGCGCTAAATATATACTGCTTATCATCATCTTAGGAAGAAATGAAACACAACTTCTTGTAACTTATCTTTAAAGCTTACCAAGAATATTTTTTTTGGCCTTGAGAAAGAGCGAACCTGTCATTCATGACAGAAACCAAATCCAAGCCCTGCTGATTGTTAAAATTAGGGGGAGAAATGGGGGGGGGGGAAGACGAGAGGGATTTATTTACTAAAGCAGTCCTAGGCAACTTGCCAAAGATTAATGTATAATTGATGCACAAATGATTTTACCTGCTTATACAACACAGCTAATTGCTTGCATACACAAAACCGGGTAACGTGTTTTCGGGGTATAGAGTGAAACTCAAATGTGGGAAAGTCATTTTCATTACAGGGGTCAGATAAAAAAATACACACTGGACAAAAAAGTCTCTAGACACACTTTACCCACATAAAGAGGTGTTTTGTTCTACTCCCTGAAATTTGAGCTTTGCTGGGTTTAGCAGTGCCTTGACTGAGCAGATATTACATTTCTATTTTTTATTCAAATTAAAATGTGGCATAACTCAGGTCTTCAGTGTTCTGATCAACAGATCTGTCTTGTGGGAATTCAATGTCACTTTTTTTTTTAATCAAAGGTAAATACTGGTTACATTTAAGACCAAATTCTGGCTCTTCCAACAGAACCTTGTAATATGATCGGTACCCGATTACAATTTTGTCACAGAGCACCAATCGGAAAGTAGCATCCTTTGTTCTTTGGCTTATTTGTAAACCCTTTTTTTTTTTCATCATTTTTTTCCTCCAGATAATCAATTCCAACAGAAATATCAAAATTTCAGCTGTACGAGAGTATGCTGCCTCTTCTACATATTTCAAAATACGCTTCTTCCTGCCATTGTACCCTCAAATTCTACCCCTGAAGATTTTTCAAAAGCAGTCTAGTGAAATAAAAGTTAAAAATACCTATAATTAGTCCAAATCTAAAAGAGATTTCTGAAGGTTACTGGAGATATCAGAGTCAACCTCACAGTAAGAGTTAAGGGCATCAAAGATCTCCACACCTTTGAAGATATATATTTCCTGCAGTGGTGAAATTCAAATTTTTTTACTACCTGTTCTGTGGGCGTGGCTTGGTGGGTGTGGTGTGGCTTGGTGGGTGTGGCAGGGGAATGATGATTCAAAATCTCCATTCCCACTTCACTCTGGGGCCAGCCAGACGTGGTATTTGCAGGTTCTCCAAACTACTCAAAATTTCCGCTACCGGTTCTCCAGAACCTGTCAGAACCTGCTGGATTTCATTCCTGATTTCCTGTTCTGAACTTCCATCTTAATGGGATATCCCTCTCCCCCAAAATGGGAGGGTGTGTGTGTGTGTGTATTGGAGGAAAGGGAAATAAACAACAGGAGATATTTAAAGGATGATGAAACTGCTGCTGGGTGACCTTGGGCCAATCCATTCCTCACCTGTAGGAAAAAGGAGGAGACCAAGGCAAACCATTTCTGAAAATGCAGCCAAGAAAACTTGTCCAGGCAGGTACTAAGACTCAAAACTGACTTGAAGGCACACATGCACATCAAAGAATCTATTATAAGTCACATTTTATATACAATATAAAGGCAAAGCTCTTCTATAAATCTTTACTTACAAAGAAAATTAAACATTCAAAATCCCATTGAAATTGATGGGATTTAAATTATTTACAAGGAGCTTGTCCTAGGTAGCTACAATTAATTTATAATAAGTATCTCAGTGGATTTTAATAATTTACTGTAGTTTAGGACCATATGTAACTAACATTTTAATAACTTCAACTAAGTCCCTTGTGCTCACCAAATTCGCAATTTTGAACAGCTTCTTAAATCAGAAAGCCTATTAAATTATCTCCCAATCCTCTAGCTGCTTGAGAATTTTACATGAAGTTATAACGTTTCTTCCAAGTCTGACTTGGTCTTGGATCACAGATAAGTATCTTTATTATAATCATTCACTTGACTAGTCAGTGCAGGTAGTCTTTGACTTACGTCCACAATTAGGACTGGAAACTCCATTGCTAAGGATTATGGTTATTAAGTGAGCTGTCCCAAAACCATGATTGATTTTATGACATATTGCCAGGGTCGTTAATCAGATGAGGAGGTCATTAAACGAATCCAGGTTCCCCCATTGTCTTGGTTTGTCAGAAGCTGGCTGGGAAGATTGCAAATGGTGATCCATTGTAAATGCATGCCAGTTGCTAATCACGATGTTACTGCAGGGACGCTGTGATGGTTGTAAATGCAAGGAAACTGGTCATAAGTCATTTTTTTCAGTGCTCTGTAACTTCAACCAGTTGCTAAACAAATTATCATAAGTCAATGAGTATCCTTATATCATACTGCAGTTTATTTGAACTGATGCCTTTTTTTC